TCGTTAATATATCGAAAGAAAAACAGCAGAGAGGTGCAATGCTTCTTGCGATAGTTAGTGTGCAGATTTGTGTGAACAAAGGCGTCCCAAGCTCACGTCTAGATAAAAAAGCAAACGATTAATTTATGAAAGCGTCATATGTTGTGTGACTCGGTGTTAATTTACGGGAGGAACTGTTGAGAATTTGAACATGTTATAAGGAATAGCACGGGGAACAAAATGTAGTCGATTTACAACGATAAATATTTCGAAATATGAACATTTTACACGTTAAATCAATAGAATTTACTCACATCTTTTGTGTCCGTTGTGGTTTCCGGCGTTCACTGCCATTTTAAGCTTGCTTTGCCGTCACTGTTATTCCTGTTATACAACGGTCGAAATCGAAGTGTGCAGCCTTGACCTCGTCTTATAACAGGAATAACAGTAAGCTCGGAACGCTTGTGGTGTGAATATTTTGAAAGTACCTCGGGAAGCAGCAGTTCCGAGGAAGTTTCTAGTGAAGGTGAACCTGACTCTTGACTGTTCAATGATCAAAGCGACAATGGGCACCGTGAATTTTGCCGCATGCAGCAATAATCGACCACACTTCACAAAAAATAACCAAGATTTGAAAAGATCGAAGCCCATTCGAAAAAGTAGCATTATTTTGTTGCACCCGCTTCTGTTCAGTCCTGTGTCGCAAAATTTCCTTTACGGACTGTGTGGATGAAGATTCTTGAGATGAAGACAACTCGCACACAGCTTTGCTCACGCAATTTCTTGTTTCCGCGCTCTCCATCATCGCTGGCATTTCGCCTCTTCATCGTCTGGAATTTGGACTCTTTTCATGAAATCTTCTTTAGAGGGGCCAGAATCAGAAGAACACGAAAAAAAAAAATACAAATACAAATAAAAATACAACGATGATCCGCGCTCCTGCGAATTTTTTTCGCAAGTGTGAAAAATTTGCAAAGGATAAAGTAATATATGGAAAGGAAGGATTGGAATACTGGAATACAGCAAAAGAAAGGTGGAATTTGCGTAGTTTTGACATGAAGACGTCCCCACATAGGGACGCCATTTTTTTTCTTCGCGTTTCATGGATCGTATTACCCAAGTGAGCTCGAGTAGCCTATTTTCCGCGAAAAGATAGTTTAAAATTAAACCGTTCTGTGAAAACGCCGTGACATAGGTCCAGTATGGGAGTTGAACGCTCCAAGTAATGGGCTCCTGTTCCTTATCAATAAGATGATAAAAAAAAACACCCGTGTTTGGCCACACTCACATGTATGACGTTCAGTCTCACTAACTTTTTTTCTATTTTTATTTTAGTCGATACTGTCACTTTTCTAGAGAGATAGATAAATAGAGGGATTGATCATTCGATAGATTGATTCAAGTTTTCAGTGTTAATACATAGATATATAGTAGATGCCAGAGTTTCTGCTGTTTCGAAAACAAATATCCTCGCCGCTTTTATTGAAGAAACCATCAACAAAAATGACGTCATGGTAACCGGATTTGACAAGATTGCGGTTTTATTTCTCACGAAGGTTTCTTCTTTAGTTTGTGAACACGGCTAAAGGTTAAATTCGAATTTTTTGTGGAAGGAAGACATTTTTTAGGAATGGGATTTTTCTTTTTTTGTCGGAGTTGAAATAACAAGTTGCAGTTATATAAAGAAGATCTCTATATTCGGTGCTCTTGAATGTATTTGAAATTGTCTTTTATTTAAACGTTACATGTTTGGTCGTGGAGACGAGTTCATCTTGAGTTAATTGTATCGCCAACACGATCACCTTGCTGCTCGAAAGGAATGCATACGATAAGATTTGTTTCGACGCGTGACACCAAAAACGGTGCCATGTATGACAAAGGCATAATAGCGACTTACAATTGAATCGTATAGTTCGGACCTGTCAAATCTGGTACAGATGTCAGCTTGTTGTTGTCCATAGACCTATACGATCCAGCAACCAAAAAAATACAAAGGAGTTATTATGAGCCCTGATCAATACACAAACGTTCCTTCTTTGTGTTTGTCTTGTAATGTTTACTTCCTCGGTGATTTTGTATTTTTCGAATTCTTTTCATTTGTTTTCCATCGTAACTTGTATTGTATTTAGCAGTCGTAATCGCATATGTGTTATCTGAAACAAAATTGACGCGTTGCAACGAGTGACGGTTTTTTTTTATGCCATGCTAAAAAATCTTTCTTTATTTGCGCCAATTTAAATCTGCTCCTTGACGAAATCTTTGCCATTTTACCTGTTTTATGCAAGTTTTTTTTTAATCACTTACCATAATTCGAGCGTTTTAAATTGTTCTAAAACACCATCACCTATTGTCTCTAGCTCGTTTCCTTGAAGGAACCTATTCGCAAGTATAAAGAGAATTGAGATATCTTCTGGTAGGCATTTAAGGGTGGGAAGGGGATGGGAAGAAGCATTTATGTTGTTTTATATATTTACGTTTGGTGGGTACAACATTTCAATAAATAACAAAAATAAAGTACGCGAGCTATAAGAGGTCCTGCTCGTGGTTTGGACCTTGAGTACACAGAAGATTTCCATATCCGAGGTCTGTTCAGTTATTCCTTTCAAACCCGCACTACCCAGTACTAGGCAAAGAACAGCAACGCACAACCAATGTACTTACAAATATTTGAGCTGATCCGTAAGTCCTGCCATTGTGCCCCGGTGTATACGAGTCAGCTTATTGGAAGACAGATCACTGAAAACGGACAAATTTAAAACAATAATGTGATGCACCTATTCCAGGTTGACCTCACCGCAGAAAAACCTGTCTGTGGTGGTCCGAGGTCAAAGATGTGACAAGTTAAGTGTTCGCAATGTAAAACCGAGTACCAGATCTTTTCCCTTTGTTGAGCTCAGACTTTGCACATTACAAATTGAATAACAAAGAATAACATTGCTAATTCTGAACAAAGACTAGCAAAAACTAACGATAAAAACCGACGTTTCGGTGTCATCATGACGCCATTGTCAAGGAGAAATAAAAAATGAAGTTTGTGGCAAAGTGTAACATTAAATTAGCATAAATATGTTACGAGCTAATTAAACAAATACTTTTGCGCGAATTGAATCGCTTTGCACGTTCAGAGTGGGTTTTAAGTCTCTGATGAAAAGCATTTCGTTCACCAAACAATCGAACTTGTTACTACACTTTTTCAGAATGCTAAAACGTTTCAGTAGGTCTTTCGGGACTTCGCTGTGCTGTTCGTGGTAGTGTTTATATATTGAAGATGCCTTTCGTTTATGTCCATCCACGCGTGTGTGTAAGTGTCCGCGTGTATAGCCCACATAACCCGCATCACACAGGTCACATTGAAATTGATAAACGACGCGTTGTTGGTTGACAATCTGTGGCTTGATTTCTCGTACTTTAAGATCTTGGCTTACTTTGCGGCTAACAAATACTGGCTGGACAGTTGTCTGCACCTTCATGCTAAGATTCTTGAGCTCTTTCTTAACATAATTTGCTGATTCTTGATCTTTGAAAGGTATGACCACACGAACAATGGATATTGGTTCTTTGGGCGTCTGTGTGGGCTGCGTACCAACAATTCTTGATTGTAAGAAGGTGTTAATGGTAGAATTTACCAGGCGCCCCGGGTATTTAAGCCGTGCGAAAACTTTCTTTAGGCGATCACACTCATCAGAGAAATGGGCCCAGGAGGAAGATAATCGGTGTGCGCGATCCAGCATAGTTTTCAGCAAGCTCCGTTTGTAGCGATTGTCTACATGGCTTTGGTAGTGTAATAGTAGGCCCGTGTTTGTTGGTTTCACATATACCTTGGTTTCAATCCGAGGTGCATGGTTGAGTAGTTCGGTGCCAAGGAAAGGAAGCTTGCTGTTCTTCTCCACCTCCATGGTGAATTTGACCGAAGTGTGGGCGCTGTTGAGGGTATGCAAGAAGGTAGTTGCTGTTGCTAGATCAGGCATTACAGTGAGTGTATCATCAACATATCGACGATAATAGGATGGAAGTTTTCTTTGTCGCTCAAGGGTATCTTCGATGGATGACATGAAGACGTTTGCTAATAAGGGCCCGAGAGGGGACCCCATAGCAACGCCATCTGTCTGTTCGTATAGAGCTCCGTTAAATTGAAATAGTTGGCCTTTGGTGGCTACGTTTAGGAGGTCAATAAGATCTGTTCTGGTAAGGGCAAGATTGTGGGTAGTATTGAACCAATTGTTCGAAAAGGCTCTGTTAACCAAGATCTCTATTGTTTCGTCCAAAGGCACGTTCGTGAATAACGAGGAGACATCATACGAAACCAAGATTTCACCCTTGTTGATCTTCAGCTCGTGAATCTCTTTTGTGAAATCAAAATTATCAGTAACTGTATACTGATTAAGGGACAAGGGCTTCAATTTCTCGTCGAGCCATTTAGCAAGGGGAAAGTTGTACGTGTCGGTGGCTGATAATATAGGCCTCATAGCCAATGGTTCTTTGTGGGTTTTTGGCAACCCATATAAATGTGCTAATCTGGAACCTGTAGGGCTCACGGAATCTGCAATGGTCTTCGGTAGAATTCTACGAACAATGGAATCTAGGATCTTCTCTTTCTGTAGTAGGGGGTGGTAATATTTGGATGGTCTGCCCCTGGTCTTGGGTTTCTCCAGGGGAATGGCACGGAACTTGCTTGTATCATTGACTGAGGCTTCAGAAAGTAATCGCAAGTATTCGGTTTTGTCTAGAACCACAACACCAGACCCTTTGTCGGGTTTCGTGATAACTATGTCGTCGCGTCCTTTTAACTCCTCTATAGCTCTCAACAATGTCTTTGGAGGTTTCGGACTCTTGCGTTCGATGTAATTGTTTGGTGAACGAAATGCTTTTCATCAGAGACTTAAAACCCACTCTGAACGTGCAAAGCGATTCAATTCGCGCAAAAGTATTTGTTTAATTAGCTCGTAACATATTTATGCTAATTTAATGTTACACTTTGCCACAAACTTCATTTTTTATTTCTCCTTGACAATGGCGTCATGATGACACCGAAACGTCGGTTTTTATCGTTAGTTTTTGCTAGTCTTTGCATTTCTAAATCCTTATTGATAAGAATCTTAAAACGCGATAATCAGCTACATTTGTTCAGGAGACTTGAACAATGCAGCAAGAAACAGATTAACTGCGATGGCTCAATCGAATTCCTCAGACTCTGTCAGAACTTTGACCTAACTCCAACTTTCGCTAAGGTCGACAAAGCAAGGCGTTCTAAATGGAAGCACTCTTCCGAAACCTTTACAAGGAATGTCATCTCTGAGGAACTAAATGGAAAGATCAAACAGAGTGCTTATCTAAAACGCGCGATCAATTCCATCTACGATGAGATTCGCCGGAGCTGTAGTTTGCTTCGCTACACCTGCGTTCTACGCACTATGGTTAGCCTTAAAAAGAAATATCATCAGGAAGTTATGAATACTCACACGAAGAAGATCTCACGGCTGCTCAACATCGAAATGGATGTTGACGAACATATTTTGAACCTATCATCCTACAACCTCTCCTTTTTTCAGAGACTGGTCCTTTGCCGAGGATTAACATTTGCCATTCCTCAACGTGTGTCTCCCATGGACGTTAAAGCAAGCTTTGAAAAGGCCTATTGGAGCCTTGAACCCCACCTCAATGATGATAATTTAAAGGAATTATCTGCAGCAACGTTACGTTTCGTTGCACTCAATTACATCGAACGCAAGAGTCCGAAACCTCCAAAGACATTGTTGAGAGCTATAGAGGAGTTAAAAGGACGCGACGACATAGTTATCACGAAACCCGACAAAGGGTCTGGTGTTGTGGTTCTAGACAAAACCGAATACTTGCGATTACTTTCTGAAGCCTCAGTCAATGATACAAGCAAGTTCCGTGCCATTCCCCTGGAGAAACCCAAGACCAGGGGCAGACCATCCAAATATTACCACCCCCTACTACAGAAAGAGAAGATCCTAGATTCCATTGTTCGTAGAATTCTACCGAAGACCATTGCAGATTCCGTGAGCCCTACAGGTTCCAGATTAGCACATTTATATGGGTTGCCAAAAACCCACAAAGAACCATTGGCTATGAGGCCTATATTATCAGCCACCGACACGTACAACTTTCCCCTTGCTAAATGGCTCGACGAGAAATTGAAGCCCTTGTCCCTTAATCAGTATACAGTTACTGATAATTTTGATTTCACAAAAGAGATTCACGAGCTGAAGATCAACAAGGGTGAAATCTTGGTTTCGTATGATGTCTCCTCGTTATTCACGAACGTGCCTTTGGACGAAACAATAGAGATCTTGGTTAACAGAGCCTTTTCGAACAATTGGTTCAATACTACCCACAATCTTGCCCTTACCAGAACAGATCTTATTGACCTCCTAAACGTAGCCACCAAAGGCCAACTATTTCAATTTAACGGAGCTCTATACGAACAGACAGATGGCGTTGCTATGGGGTCCCCTCTCGGGCCCTTATTAGCAAACGTCTTCATGTCATCCATCGAAGATACCCTTGAGCGACAAAGAAAACTTCCATCCTATTATCGTCGATATGTTGATGATACACTCACTGTAATGCCTGATCTAGCAACAGCAACTACCTTCTTGCATACCCTCAACAGCGCCCACACTTCGGTCAAATTCACCATGGAGGTGGAGAAGAACAGCAAGCTTCCTTTCCTTGGCACCGAACTACTCAACCATGCACCTCGGATTGAAACCAAGGTATATGTGAAACCAACAAACACGGGCCTACTATTACACTACCAAAGCCATGTAGACAATCGCTACAAACGGAGCTTGCTGAAAACTATGCTGGATCGCGCACACCGATTATCTTCCTCCTGGGCCCATTTCTCTGATGAGTGTGATCGCCTAAAGAAAGTTTTCGCACGGCTTAAATACCCGGGGCGCCTGGTAAATTCTACCATTAACACCTTCTTACAATCAAGAATTGTTGGTACGCAGCCCACACAGACGCCCAAAGAACCAATATCCATTGTTCGTGTGGTCATACCTTTCAAAGATCAAGAATCAGCAAATTATGTTAAGAAAGAGCTCAAGAATCTTAGCATGAAGGTGCAGACAACTGTCCAGCCAGTATTTGTTAGCCGCAAAGTAAGCCAAGATCTTAAAGTACGAGAAATCAAGCCACAGATTGTCAACCAACAACGCGTCGTTTATCAATTTCAATGTGACCTGTGTGATGCGGGTTATGTGGGCTATACACGCGGACACTTACACACACGCGTGGATGGACATAAACGAAAGGCATCTTCAATATATAAACACTACCACGAACAGCACAGCGAAGTCCCGAAAGACCTACTGAAACGTTTTAGCATTCTGAAAAAGTGTAGTAACAAGTTCGATTGTTTGGTGAACGAAATGCTTTTCATCAGAGACTTAAAACCCACTCTGAACGTGCAAAGCGATTCAATTCGCGCAAAAGTATTTGTTTAATTAGCTCGTAACATATTTATGCTAATTTAATGTTACACTTTGCCACAAACTTCATTTTTTATTTCTCCTTGACAATGGCGTCATGATGACACCGAAACGTCGGTTTTTATCGTTAGTTTTTGCTAGTCTTTCAATCGGTAAAGTTTTTTTGTACATTTCTTATATGCGGAGAGGAAATTGATGAGCTATTTAGACATACACTCTCCAAGACATGCCAGGTTTTATGCTATATGAATATCGTAGAAAAAAGTGAAAAAATGATAAATACTACTTACAGTACTTGTAGGTGTCTCATTGCTCGGAAAGTTCCATTGACGATATTTTCCAAGTCGCAAGCAGTCATGGAACTACAAAAATAATATGAAAAAGTCAGCGTGGTGGAGAAGTTTAATGAGGAATGGTATATAAATATTGAAAGGGTCGTACTGACTGATTGAAGAATGCACTCTTAAAAAAATATCGGCGTAACCGTAATTAGACAGTTAGAGTGGAACATTTCTTTATAAATTTCAATACGCTTCTCTGTTGGGCCAAAACTAACTGTTCCTAATGTAAGGGGTAGACAGCAACCCCACCCCAGCCCCCAGAGTACTTTAGTCACGTGACCATCGGGGGGACGAGAAATTGGACCACGAGGTCGAAGAAAGAAAAATAGAATCGTTGAACAATATTTGTTTCTTTAACTATTTGTCTTCAGAAGCGAACCCAACACTAACTTGTTAAACTTAACAACCAAGCTAGTTTTCTCGGAGATTGCTGAAGCTAATACCTAACGAATGCTAAGAGTTTTTAGTGCAACAACTATTCTTATTTATAACTTATATGCCAGCAAAAGGTGGTTATGTAGTAATTAATCGTGTGTATAAATACAGCGATATAACGACATGGTCATTTTGAATGTGAATGTAACTTTTCTACGAATACTACTTTTCAACAACTGTTATTGGCGTCGACACTCAACTCGCACAGTCTTCCGAAGTCCTACGGAACATCTGCTCGTCGGGGAAAACAACTTGATTTGACAAAGAAAAACAAGCTCATTGACTGCGAGTCCTGCTATTAAACATATACAGTTTAACGGGCAATTCAGATAAGACTCCACCAAGCAGAGATTCCAGAAGTCAGGAATGAACGATGAAGAATTACAACAGCAGAATTGCCACATTACAGTATACCACAGAGAGTCATGGCAGAGTGTAATGCTTCATGAGGTAACAATCGACTTCGGCGTCTGACTTAAACTAAATGTGCAAAGATGAAACGCTAGGATTTACTTCGAATGTCACTACATCGTGAGACAGACGTTCAATATGATAATTCTTATTAGTTGGTGATTTGTGGAGCCACTGGACTTACAGATATTTCATACTTCCAAGCCCAACGAAGATATCTGATGGCAGAGAAGGTCCAAGTGGATTTACACTGAGGTCTCTGTAAAAGTAAACCGTTTGGAATGAGCTCCAACTATCTGCTGATTAAATGTAGGCCGATATGAGGTGTGAAATTTTAATTCCTTATAAACTGTGATGAACTGCTGATGCGAACTGGGATGAACGAGTAATTAGCGAATATCTCCAACGACTATATGCTTAAACATTCAAAAATATATTTTTTTGTTATTTTTAAATCAAGTTAAAACATGACACTTACAGTGTGTGAAGCCGTGTTAATCCTTTAAGAATGACATTCACATCAGCAATTGATAGTAAGTTGTCTCTGATTTTCCTAAACAAATGTAATATCTAAATCAACTTATAAGTGTTAGACAGTGGGCTAAAATAACTCACCCAGCCTCATTTATACCACGCTGTTTCTTGCATTTATATATCTATCTAACGTTTTTTTTTAAGAAAATAGGACAACGGAAAGGAAAGAAAGACCCAATGTAAGCGGCTCATTATCATTTTATTCATAATGTTTGAAGAATAGAAGCTTTCAATAATATTTTAGAAGTAAACCTTGATGTACTTTAATTGTGGCACACAGTTTTGAGAAGCACTTCATAAAATATAACTCACAGAGAAGAAACGTTTTCTGGAAGGTAAAAACTCCCTGAAATTAAGTTCTTGGAAAGATATCTGGGAAGAAATGATAACAAATGTCATGAGATGAAGGTAGGAAAAACGAAAGAGATATATATCTGTCCGTATATATATGGCAAAAAATTTACATAAGTTAAAGAATTAAAGAGGACGCATCGATTCTCTGCTACTCTGAGTTTCGCGCCTAAACGTTCGTCAGACAGAACTATATAGTTATGAAAATTTGCAACTAAGCTTAGGATGTACCCGGCGCCTGAACACGCAACGGTTAGGATACCGCAAACTGTCAGCAAGCCAGATGAGAGAATACTGCCCGCTCTTGAAACTAATTAGATTGCAGGTTTGTAGAATACCACCCGCTCACGCGTCGACAAAAAAATGATGCGCTTCACGATCTCACTGTTTTACTATATACTAGCTAAATCAATTATTCACTTTAGTGTCAGTGGCGCCTTTTCACGGCTCGGTGTATATCCACCTCTAGCCACACCCACTTAGGTGAATAGTTGTTTATCACATTGAAGCTATTGAAAGTAGAAATAAAAAATAGTGATAAGTTCTACAAGGATAGTTATTTTAACCAGCCTAAAAAGATCACAATGAAAAAAAAAAAACTCGTTTTTTACCCAACCACATTTTGCAAACTTTTTGAATTAAATCATTACGAATTCCCTCACATCATTTTCAGTTTCTCCATATTGCGAAAAGTGTGTTGAGGAATGTGTCGCAGTGAATTATTTGATAAGTCCCTAGAAAAAGAGAGAGAGTTCATGAAAGAAAAAAAATTAATTGATTCTCGAAAGATTAAGCATAAAATTTTCAAAAGACAAACGTTCCCATTACATATGATTACTTACTCTTTTCTGTTTTACTTATCATTAGAAGGACGATATTAGTATCCTAACAATCACCTAATACGTTCGAAATCTACCAGCTTATAGATAGTAAGTCAACTATTGAACCATCAATGAGTACCCAGGTATAACTTGTAATCAGATGGTGAGCTTTTTTATTTCTTCGCGTTTGTAGATGGCTCGGGGAAATTTAAAGACCATTTTCAAACTTTTTCACAACTTCGATAAATTTTTCTTCTGAATATGTTAGATATATGCAGTATGTTGACCACTGTTTCCTGTTAGTTTTCTTTTATCTTTTAAAAAAGAAAAAGTAATTTGCTTTAAGACAAATCATCTCGATTCAATACGAATTTCTCATGAACGGAAAATTACAGTTATTTTTTTTTATTTGCAACTTACAATTTCTCTAAGACAGTCAGGTTCCTAAAGATGTCTTCTGTAATTGAGCTCAACGAACAACTTGGAAGATCTCTGGGTAGAAATTAAAATGTAAGTAAAGATGGTAATAAACATAACTTTTAATTCTAGAGGAGGTAAGGTCCGAAAGGAATAAATAAGCATTATTTAAATTAAAAATATTTTGATCTAAATCGACACGTAGCATCCAATTACTGTGTTTTTCACAGTCTAGTATCACTTTTCTTATAATTAATTTCAAATTATGCGTTTGTTGTTCCTTTCTCCTTTTTCGTTTGGACAGGAATAACAGTGATGGCAAAACAAGCTTGAAATGGCAGAAATCGCCAGAAACCACAGCAAACTCACAAGATGTGAGCAATTTTTATTGATTTACGTGTAAAATGTTCATATTTCGAAATATTTATCGTTGTAAATCGACCATAGTTCGTTCCTCATATCATATTATTCCTTATAACGTGTTCAAATTCTTAACGGTTCCTCTCGTAAATTAACACGGAGTCACACAAAGCTTGACTCTTTCATGAATTAATCGTTTGCTTTTTTCTCGAGACATGAGCTTGGGTCACCTGTGGTTCGCTCGGAAATCATTTCTGCTTTATGTTTTCGTCTTGGCACTGACCAAGACTCCTTAACAAGTCTGCAACATTTAAAACTACTCTCGTTCAAGTCTGCAACATTGAAAGCTACCTTTGTCCAAGATGTGTCTAACAACTATTAGCCATGTAACAAATATGAACACAAATGAGACGATAACAAGCCCTGCAGGGCGAAGGATGGCGAAGTTTCTTTATCACTTACAGTTCTCTTGTATTGCTTGGGATTCCGGTCGATATGAATCCATGAACTCGACATTTTACTATCAGTTGAGTCCTACCGAACTTGGTACATTGACAGATTTTTTGGCTGCAAACGTCACTCTCACATGGTGTTACAAACCCCAAGAGCAAGATGACTTGTATCAGACCTGTAAACATCGTTACCATGGCCAGAGCGGTTTGCTGTAGACGTAAATTATAATATCCTGATTTCAAGATAACTAATAAACAAAGACTTATTCAAAACCGTTATCCGTCGTTAAAAAGCAACATAGCTTACTTTGCGTGCCTCCCAGATATCAGTTAGGCATTCTCACTATCTGTTTGAGACACAAAGTTAACTGTTGACAAAGGCACATATCTCACGGAAACAAGAGGTTTCGTACCTCTGAAACATCAATATTAATTATGAGTATGCGTTAATGCATATTACTTAAAAACAGTCACTGGTTTCAATCTGCTAACTACAAAAGTTCATAAACGCTAATGAACCCCAAAGTATAAAATGAGATAAATAAACGAGAAGACCATAAAGATATGGCAATATTAAACTTGTTATGCCCTCTGCCTTTAGAGTAATCATTTGATTGATTTCTTTCACGGGAACTGGTTACCAAAACAGAAGACCACAAAAATTTTCGAAACTCTGAAGCATTAAAATTAATTATGAGCACGCGTTCAAGCATATCATCAGGTACTCTCAAATTCGATTTTTCTCAACACCACACTTGCTATGGAAGATACACGAGGTATATTGATTCAATACTAACAACAATAATTTATGCAGATTAGAAACATAAACTTCATTTCTTTTACACTACTTTAGCATGCTCACAGCACTGGTTGGGGAAGGATTATTTCCTGTTTATAACTTCGTCACTGGTCATTGCTTTTGCTTCCCTTAGGTTTTTCGTCACAATAGTTTGAAACAGTTTGGTTTCGAGCCCTTGACAGTTGGCACTTGAACCGGCGACACGTCCTCTTGGTTACGATAGGCGATAAGGAAGATTCGAAGCAAAGTCAACAAATGCAAGCGGGAGTTTTAACGGAACATTTAAACCTCTAGCGGAGTATTACGTTCTAAAAACATTTGGACAATTTGCATCCAGATTTGAAGGTCTATCCCTCTCGGTAAGTTACGAATCTTGTCAGTATAATGTAATGATAACGATATTTGCCAAGTTTTGGTTATACATACATATACTTAGGCTTTTTCCTATAAGAATCTTTTTATAGGAACAATCATGATCAGGCTGAGATTAGCCAAAATTTTAAGAACATACTCAGAACATACCCAGGCTGATAATCAGCGAAAAATGTATTTTATTGACTCGTTTTTCTTTTTTGAATTTAGCAGAGTATACAAGGCATGCCTTGCTCCCTTCTCACTACTGCGGTCGAATTTTCGCATCATTAAAATTCACAATTGATAAAGAGCTACCTACTTCAGCAGCTTAGACGACGATCGTAAATCTTTACACAAAATACCCGATAAATCACGAATGGACAAAATATTTGATTGAATAGAAAAATTATTTCACCGTTATTGTAAAGATTCATCCCATTCTTGTTACCTTAAGTAGCTGCAGCTTCAAACACCGAGAGATCTAGTCGCAAAGAATAGACTCGTTGCCTTATATTTACTACAAGTTCGTTAGCAAAATTGTGACAACAGCTACAAATACACTGGCGAGACGAAATGCAAACCAGCCTCTCGACTGAAAGGGCACCAGAAAGTGATAGATCAAAACAACTGCAATACTCTGCACTAGCTGAAAACTGTTTATTGTTGGCAGTTAGAAACTCCACCCTCTAGGAACTGCTCAATAGCTTTCGTAAAAGTGCTAATTGGCGTAACTGGTGCCTTTTAGAATCTTGCGATGATAATTTCAAGAATCCACTGAATCGTTACGATGACATAAAATTAAAGCAAGAATTAATCAATCCAAATTTTACATTTTTCTTAATGGATATGTTACGCTCTCTCTCATTAAGGCAACAAACTTCCCTTTGTTTCAGCGTAGCGACGTGATAATCCTCGAGAGATGTTGGGAAAACTAGAGAAACAAACCGTGATTTCGAGTATTCTTTGCTGAACAGGTTACGTGTATTCAATCACGTCACTGACGCTGTAGGGAAATCAAATTTCGCGCTACGAAAGTTATCCTATTTTCTTAGTTTGCATAAAGCGCCGCGCAATCGCCTCCCATAATTTGCTTTCAAATTTTGGATCTTCTTCTTAGGTAGACTTGTTGGTTCCAGAAAGTAAGGGCCTCATTAGAAAACAGCTGTGCGCCAGCGCCTGCTCTCTGCGAAAATTTGGAGAAGCTGTTGACAACTCCTTACTTCTAACAAAGATTGTTAAAATCCGCTGTAAAACCCTGATAGTTTTTAATGAGAGAGACTTACTTTTAAGCAGGACCCACTTTTTTTGCAAAAGATAAATAAAAAAAACTCGCACCTTCTTCAATGTGAGACTTGTGAGAGAAAAAATAGCACACCCTCATCTTGCCACGCGTTTGATTGAAAACGAAAATAACTCAAATACATGCTCTCGCAAAAACTAGAAATCATTGCTTTGATCAGTATATCTTGTATCATCAACATAGTTACACGAATTCGGCGCTTTTGCAAAGAAGGATCCTCGTGTTAGGTAAACATTTTGGTTCTAAAAATGATGAGTGCCTCGTTCGAAAACAGCTGTGCACCAGAAACAAAGTCTTTAATCGCCTCGAGGCTCTCCAAAGAAAACCGTCACTTTCGATTGTATTTAACACCAGTAGTAGGACCAAAAAATATATTTGTACATTGACAAAACTGACCGGTAAAAACCAGGCGACTTGACTTATATATAGAGAGAGGCGGTTTAAATGAGTCACTGCAATACGGATAAATTTAATTATTTTTTAATTTGCGAACCTTTGGCTCGATGCGCAACAAGAGGTTGGTTCAGCTTTATCCATCAATCTTTTCCAAAGACCACAAATTGCATTCGCCCTACGGGCTCTTGCAATTTTGTTAGTCTTCGAAAAAAATTTACTCGTGCTTATTTATTCAAAATTGCGCTCGAAATCATGTGATTACCTATACTAATTATGTTAATGTTTTTAAAACAAGAACTGTAAAAAAAAGTGATTGTTTCAAAGGCAAAGTTTACCACTTCAGGAGATATTTAGTTAAAGCTGGGACCTGTTACTCAGGGAAAAAATCCAAACCAATTTAATTACAATCCACGATTTAGAATCTAATCCAATATTGATACTACTATTATAAAATATTGGAAATATTAATGAAACACACTAGGTTTCAACTGTTGAAGAGACAATGGTAAACAATGTAAATCATAACAATCGAGCAGCATGGTTAACGATAGATCAACGATAATCACAAAATGAAACAGTGGCAAATATAGGGCTTAAATATGTCAAGGGAAGAACAGAAAGAGAAAGCTGATACAAAGGAATATGTGACAAGAAGGACAGGAAATAATGAGTTCAGAAAGCTCTGCAAGCAAAAAGATCAGAAAAATATGGAAAAAAATAAAATCTCAAAGGTGGGCATTTAACAAATGCAAAGATTCAAATCCTGATCATATCAGAGAACTGGATGGGTTGGCATTTGCCAAAAGTGGAAAGAGTAACCCTCAGCGTGTGCAAGAAGTGAAAAAAAATGCAAAGAATAGAAAGAGATCCTTCATGTCTGGTTGAACTCATGTGAAAGCCAGCCACTAAAAGACCCAGCTGTATAGCAGTTATTGAAATGCATTAATTTTAAAGTCAAGATTCTACACAAGAGATACAAACAACGACAACAACAAGAACAAGCTTTATTACCAAATTGAGAAGTTGAACTTAATTTACACACATAATATATTAATACAAAAAAGGTAACATTTACTCAGAATAACTGAAAAGCTAATCTAGCTGAGTAAAAGTAAATAATGTTTAAATATAGGACGTAGATTGACACTAAAGCTTGAGCAAAGCAAATTATTGGTCAAAAAAAGAGAGGACATTAAATAAATAAATAAATAAATAAATAAATAAAAATAAAATAACGAAAAAGAAAAAGAAGAAGAAGAGACCAGTTGAAAACTCATGAACAGTAAGAATGTAAAATGTTTAATTTGACTCAATCACGGTATCAGTCATCTGTCAGAAAGTGTGAAGGAAACAAATATCCTAAATGTTCCCAAACTTTGCTTGAAGCATGTATAACTACCATTGCTAGTATAGATAATACGAAATGGACTTGTTCTACTTGCAAATCAAAATTGACTAATGGGAAGCTACAAGTCTGATCCAAAGCCCCAAAATGGGATTCCCTGTGAAACCACAATGTTTAAAGTTGATACCTTTATAAGAAAGATTAATTTTTCCGCCTATTCTGCTTATGCAGATACATGAGTTTCTTAGAGATGGATAATTATCTATTCATAGCAATGTTGTTAATGTATCAGCTGATGTAAATTCAACCGTTAGCACTTTACCAAGACCAATCAATGAATCACAAACGATCCTCATTAAACTCAAACGAAGGTAGAGTTACAGGCATAATTAATTTCAGAATGTTAGACCAAGAAAAGTGTTAAAAGCAGCAAAATACCATATTACAACAAGTGAATAGTTTCAAAATGGGCATATAGAAGTTCAGGAAAATTGGCTTGAGAATCCTAATACTAGAGTTAATGATGCCCTTGCAAATCAAAGTAATGAATGGGAAGTATTCCTCAGTAATTCACGCTCAAGAAAAATGATGCTGAAATACATTTAACTGATCCTGGACCTGAAATTACTATTCTGAAACTACTCAAAGACATGATAATTACACCGAACAATTAGTCCTTGACTGTAATGACAATGGTAATGATGGATGGTGCGAAATTGAGGAGAGAACTTCAGGTGTCACAGATACTCTGTTACAAGAGCCAGATATGACTGAAAATGTTGAAAAGATAATAACTTTTGCACCATTATTAGGAAACAAACCTTTCGGTATAATTATCGACAAAAACTCTGAATTCCTCTCTTTTCCATCTATTTACTGTGACAAAACTCGAGCTGATAATTAGGAGAGAAAGTCTAAACATCTTTTATACATTAGAAAAGTTACAAATAAACAAATTCAAAATAGTGCCTGCATCTCTCTAAAAAAGTGTAAAACAAAATACAACAAATAACCTGCAGGTGACCTTAAATCAGATGATTATGTAAATAAATTAATTCACCAGACGATGGGTTGATCCCTTTTTAGTCGTAAATGTGTGAAGCGTAGAAACGACTATTGTTGGGGCTCCTTCCAATTCCACTCCCCAAGATCTCCTATGAAATATACCGGTGGGGTACAAAGCAGCGCCAAAAAGTAACCAAAAAAAAAAACAAAAAAACAAGAGTTATAAGTTATTATTGACGGAGGGAACCTAAAATGATAGCCAACCAGCCAGTCGTTCATTTTCAATTTTGTCGGGATTCAATCGCTATGCAATGGAATCTTATTCGGAAAAAATGCCGGGAGAAATGGAGGGAGTATCCTACTTACAACCTGCGGCGTATTTATACAAATTTTACGCTAGAAATCTGCTATAGTACACGCTTTTATGGAAAAAAGTGAAATTTAGGGAATGATGCAGGTCAAACGATAGCCAAAATGGTAAATTCTGACTATTAACCCAACATCACCTCAGCAGTTTAAAGTAATTCCGAGTAGTTTCAACTCTATCCGAGAGTTACCTATCGGCTGCCTATTTTTACACGAAAAATTGTATGTTTTTGTGAGGGAGAATTTTATTACATTCAGAACCTATTTAAAAGTAATGTATCCACGACTTATTCGCGTATTACTTTGTTTTTGTTTGTTTGTTTGTTTGTTTTTTTTGTTAATTTGGCACGAATAATGAAGAAAAATCACTCTTTTAAGAATAGTATCTTAAAGAGTCCATCAAACGCTTATTATAAAAAGTCGCGTTAAATCCAAAGTAAATTCCTTTAATTTACATTGTTTTTTTGCCCAGCTGTCAGTTTGAAAGACAATGATGACTTTGACCCGAAAACCGACACAAACTATCTGCCTGGGTATGTTAGTTTTTGTTATCAGCGGAACATGGGGATATCGCTCGGGACTTGAAGTTATTAATGTGACATTCTGTGGTAAGTTACTCTTTTTAAATTAGCCTAAAAACTGCTTAGGAAAAATTGCAGAATGTTAGCAGAAATGGTAAAATCGAGAATTCCTCTCAGAAAAGAAGAATTGTTGATTTTCTTTTTAACAACAGACTTATTACTTTTAACTACAGACTTACTACGTTCCATTACTCCATCTGCATTATTTTTCATTTCCCTCTCTACTGCCCACCGGCTGTTTTAGTAAATTCCAGCTGAGGATAAGACTATTTGTTTGTCGCAAAAAACAGTCATAACTTAATTTTCCATACATTGCTTTGTATCTAAGCTTTTCTTGGGGCCTGGAAGTAAGTTAGAAATATAGGAGCTAATGAATGTCATCAACTGGTTATCAGCAAAAGACTCAATTAGAAACTAATTTTGTTTTTCTGTAGCCCAAGGTGATGCTCTATTTTTGCATTCTTTTCAGGAAAGTACGATAAGCCTCCAACGTTTAAAGCTTCTCCATGGCCTTTCTTTCCTGCTGGAGTTCATTATAATTTAAATGTAACATTTGCATCTGGTAAGTTGAAGTCGACATGGAGGTGTTAATAGTTTTTATTGATTTCCAATCAAAAGTGATATCGTTACAAAACCAGGAGGAGAGGCTTATGAAATTCCACGGCTCGTAACCAGGATTTGAGAATAGAGGTTACGAGAGGACTTTGAGTGCGATTGCAAGTAAGAGGTTCTCCGAAACTTCGGAATTGAAGGCCTCGGAAATGAGATTTCAAGTCAGCGTTTATCCTCAGTTTGTACTAAAATGATTGTCAATTATGTATCCCGCAGCGCTTAAAGTTGTTAACTCTAATCACAAATTTTATTTCTTTCCGTATTTGTTAAAATTTTTAATGATTGCTGCCTAAACTTAACGGGTTCGACCAAAATCTTTCCCCTCCAACTTCCCTTGATGCACAACAGATATTACTTTTTCATTACACCAAGAGCTGTGCCGCGTTCTAACTAGTGCTTTCCTCTAATAGCAGTAGATGTTCTTGAAGCATCCATGCAATACGAAGTGGTCTACAACGGCAAGGTTATTTTTTGGAGAAGACTCGACAGTGTATGCCATGCGTTCCCATACTTGTGCAGCTTACCTGCTGGTGGTAAGTCGACTTCCAAAGAGAGAGTTAAGAAGTAAATCAAAGGGCTCTTCATTCATGTTATGGCTTAAGTTAGTTATTATTGTTTTCTTGGACTTGCTGAATTTAGGTACAGTTGAATTCGGTTTATGTGAACTTTCAAGACTTTTGAAATATATTTGCTTTTATGAAAAAAAAGGATGTGTGGGCTGGAGGTGGAGTGGTCAGAGGTCATTAGACAGACAGTGTCCTTTTTGTTGGTGTGTGTGTTTGTGAGGCAGTGGGTGGGCTGGGTGGGGATAACCAGGCATCAAATGTTACTCTAGCAGCAAGATATTAGTAACCCTCATCTTTCACGATCATTTACACCATTGTGAAATATTCCTAGCCCATTTCTTGATATCTTTTGTTTTAAATAAAGCGGCCATTGAATTTAATTTTTAACAAAGCGGCCACAATCGTTCTTAATAGAATTTCAAGCCTTCATATAATCTGATTTTCACATATTAATATTTGCTTAATAACCAAAGCGATGAGAGATGAAACCAACAGAAAAACCATCTGAATGAAAAAGTCAACGAATGCCAACTTCACATTTTCTTTTAATTAGTTGTTTAGACTTAGTTCCTGTTTTCCATATATTTATCCCCGTGATTGTAATTATACATATCTCCCGTGATTAGTATAAATTCAAACAGTTTCTTTTTCCAAACAGTTTTTCAGCCGACGGTGTGAAATACGTCGAGACATATTTTAGAAATAAGAACGATGATCTTTCCAAAGTGCCTTCTTGACCATCTCTAACAGGCAGCTTCGAATGAAAAACAAAGCAAAAAAATATTTAGCAATGAAAAATCAAACAATCCATCCTCATTGATTAATTATCAATCTATATATTGCTCTCAGTGCACGGTGTTTCATATTTTGAATAACCGTTGCTAATTTCTTTCTATCTTTTTGTCTTCTAGAAACCATAGTGTTGGCTGCATCTGGAGAAGTGCCCGTAATTCCTCGATTTTTAAAGGTAATCGATCAACTAGCCCAGCCCTGTCAGTTCACGGGTTTAAGTGCGTGTGATTCCTATCTGATAGCCCCGGCTGCATTTCAGTCCTTTTTCCCTCCCTAGGTTCTTTCCTGCTTGATAACCTAACGGTGAAGTTCTCCTCTCCTATGTGATGTTTGTACATCTTCCTCACAAGCGCATGTACCTAAATTCTTTCGACGAACTCTGTTGTAGGCACTAGTCCTATTGGCTAAAAAAATCAGCTTTTACAAGAATATAAAATTCGTTAGCCAGCATCCAGGACTAAAGATTTCCCAATATTTTGGTTTTATCGACTGAGTTAAATCAGTGTAAATCAGCCACTATAAAGAGTTTCTAAAGAGTTAGAATTTTATTCTGACCTAGGGCTAACGATTGAAACGTCAACTTTGAAAAATATTTATGCTGGCCAGTTTACGTTCTCAAACATTCTACGTTAATGTAGTCATTCTACCTTCATTTTATTCTTCAATCAATTAGAATCGAATCTGCAAGTTTAAAATTCAACTTTTCAATGGAGAGGATATCATGTTTCTCTGTGCTGAGATTGAGGGCAAGGTATGGTAAGAGACGAACAGGACAAGCAAGAGTCAAGACTCAAGAGAAGCATGAGGGAAAAGAATAAGCATGGGAAGACATGCAAAGATTTGTCTTGCAATCAATGATTTTGTAAAACATGGTTTTTAAAATCTAGCAATAATCAAAAAAGATAACTTTCTTAACTTTGAGTAAATACATAGATTACGTTTCTATGGCGAGGGAATCAGCTCATTTTTGAAACAACCCGAAATCCAGCGTAAAAAACCGGAAAAAATAAGAGGGCGGATCAGTTCGCGCGAAAAAAACTATAGATTGTAACAAAAAATTACTTAGATCTAAATGAGAATAAAATTTCTTGAAATACCAGTTATGACAGTGCAGTTCATTGCACACGAGCAAAACTCATAACCAAAAACTGTCTATTGTTGTTGTCTGTGCTTTCAATTATCTAACACTCAGCTGCTATTTTTTTCTCGCTCCGTAAATAAATAATTTTAAGGTTCACCGTGTTCGGAGTTTCAGAGCGAAAAAATGAACATTTCACGACAAAAAGTACCATCTGGTTTGTCTTATTTTGCCTTTTATTGTCGTCAACGTGAAAGGACGCCTCAATAGTTTTCACCGTTTGCTGTTAAACGGCCAAAAAGTTTTGCCAATAGTCGTAAAAAAGTTAATCGTAAAAAATGTTTATTTTTAAAACTCCTTACGGTGGCTAATTTACGTAATCAACTCAGTTAATAATACTGAATTACCCCTCTTCAAGTAGCTGAGCAGTAGTAGACTTCATTTAACGAAGGTAACTAGTGACCGTAATTACACCGACGAACTCATTGCCCTCGTGGTTCTCCAAAATCATTCTCCAAAATGCTGGTTGAGATATGAAAGGACGTATATTTGATTACATAGAAAGCTTATACTGCCACTCTTATAAAGATCCCTTCCTTACTTGGTAAGTTGCAATATTGCAAACCAAAAAACTAACATGCTACATGTGCATACACTAAGATATTAAGCTTTGTTCACTTTACTAAAATGCCATACACAACGTCCTTTTACCAAGTTAGTTCTAACATGTTGTGTTGAAACATTAATTATTTGATGTGTCTCTGTGTATAAAAACGCATTCGTGCTGAGATATATTTATTACATGTAGTGTGGGTCAGTGAAATCAATTCTTATGTACAAATCTAAAACGACTAAAAATTACTGAGCCATCCCCATGACTACTCTATTCTTCATGCGCAGGCAGCGACGTAACATGTACAGATATGTGAGACGTGGAAAGACAAGTAGTTGGAAGCTGGAAGACATTTGGAAGGTTTTGTAGACACAACTGGCATTCTCTTGGTAGAGAAAGTACAGTTTTTGATGTTCATAACGGTGGAAATAACACTTTTGAGCTCTAGATTTCAATTTTTTTTTCTCTGACGGACAATGCCCCATGACTCCCCTAGTGGAAAGGGGCCCAAGGGTCTCTTCTTCGGGCACAGTCACCTACTACACCACTATACAAGTACTATGTCTTCTAAGCTGCTTATGAAAAACGATGTTTAAACCCCTGACTCACACCTCTTTAGAAAAGTATATAGAGGACACCTACAATGTGGTCAAACTGGAAAGTCCACTGAATGTGTGTTTATTAATGTGAGTGAACCTGTTGAAGATTAGCATCCTAAAAACAAGGAAAATTATAATACTCCTTAGATATAAAACATAGAACAGAAGCGGGTTATTATCTGAGCCGCTGGAAATAAACCTCTATTAAATTTTTTATCATGTCCTGTTTCCTTTGTTTAATTTCATGTAACTGTTTTCATCACTTGGAAATTGCAACGAGTTGTTCAGGAAAAAAGGATGTCACGAGTAGCCTGCCTTTGAGAAAAAAGAATTCACCTTGTGGGCGTTAGATTTCAAACCCCGAAAGTTCGGACATTGAGTCGAGCTCGCAGCACATGTGTCCAAATTTCGGCCTTGGAAATTTTTCTTAAATAACTGCCCACTTTCAAGAAACGTTTCTTTGCTCAAAATTGGCATCTTTCTTTTATCATGCATTTGATGGTGTGTCAAGCAAGTTGTCATTTTGCTGCCGTTGAAGCAGATGCGAAGAATGTTACAGGAAACGTTGCGGCATGGATTAATCGAACTAGTTCTGCGTACAGTGATTTATCTGATGAGGTACTTTCAAGGTGTTTAGTGCGTAGATTTTCAAATAATTCCCCTTCTCACAGGAGATTAGTGCCCACGAATCGCTGTAGAACGTAAGGAAGCCTTGATTCCCACACGGAATTACGTGTCTGGGTGTGGATCTCCTTAGCTTATAAATGTACCGATTTTTTTTAACCTGAGCCTTGCCGGGGACCACACCGTAACTTGCGGTCTTCAGTGCCTGGCTTAGACACACCAGTCAGTTTCTTTACCTCTTTCCACCAGTTAGACGAGAGGCGCTCTTCAAGGTGTTCAACTTTGCATTCGTAGTATTTAGCGCGGCAGATCTTTAGTTGGCGGTGACGAAACTCCTCTAGATTTCCCTGACTGAGTGCTGATTGACGCTTCCTATCAGTACGTCACCATTCCCCAGTATGGTCAAGACTAACAGCACGGGATTGACGACGCAGGTGGCGAAGAGATAATCAAGTGGTGTTGGTGATAACTTGAAGCTGTACAGCTCTCTCCCTCGAGTGAGTTTAATTCAGACAAAGTGTTTTTGTTTCATCGGTGGAGGAAACAAATCAGCACGTCAGCTGAAATTAATTGCAGAGTTGAGCCGTCAAATAACAACAGTGGATATGGCCAAATTACAATGGTTACGCCCTCTGCCTTTCATTAGTGATAATCCCATCGGTTTCTTAACATGAAGTCAGGTTTCGAGACAGAAGGGAACCTAAGTTGTATAGATGCTTTTGTTGCTTCTCAATAACTTTCGCGCCCGGAAAATTCTGGGGTGGAAAGCATCTGCATGAACTCATTTACGATAAGGTATTTTCATTTCTCGTTGATTTGGTACGGATTTAAGTACTCTCAACTTGAGAATACTTGGAAAAATTTAAGCTAAATTTTTTAAGTTAAATTTTTAGCAGCACCGAACATGCTGTGGAGAGTAGTTTTTACAGATTAGAAACGTGAGCTCTATTTCCTTTTTATGCTATGTCACCGTTGATTGGTGAAAAGAGTGAAGTTCCTGTTTACGCCTTCGTCACCGGTCATTGCTTTTGCTTCCGGTCATTGAAATAATAATAATGTTCACTAAATTACCTTGCCTTATTTAGTGTAAGTTCCTTGCATGATTTGTGATCAGAGCTACAAATACAGTGTGCTTCCCGACTGAAAGGCCAAAGAAGAGCGCTAGAGCAATAGTCTGTAGTAGCTGGAAACTGTTTACTCCTTGTAATGGCCACGCCGTCGTCCCCAAGGAATCTCTCAAGATCTTTCGCGCAATTGCTAACTATTGTAACAGGCGCCTTCCAGAATCTTGCAAGATCAATACTTCCAAGTATCGATCACAATCTTCCATTGTCTATAACCTTAGCGATGGTAGAGATAACGTAAAAGTTTCAGAACTAAGGTGAAACCACTAGCTGCGCCTCGTGGTTTGACTGCAAAGTTTTGAGCATTGTTGACGTCATTTCCACGATCAATAAGGTTATAAACAACGGAAAGTTGTGGTCGATTTGTTGTTTATAATAACATTGAAATTTTTGTGCCGGCTTAATGCGCCAAAGATTTCGGATAATCACGCTCAAGTAACGTGATGGAACGTTGCTTTGTTGTTTTGATTTATGTTATGTAATGACTTCGACAATGAAATACCAGTAAGTAACGAAAGACATCAGACTCTGTTACTCTGTATTGTCTTTATCGCCCACCAATAGTCTCTATTCCCATGCGCCCAATTAGTTTCAATTTTTGCGTCGTTTGTTTAAGCATCAAGTAAATCTAGGAGGTGGTTTTTTTTTCAACCTCGCGAACCGAGAGCCGGCTTTCTATTTCTAAAGATTTTTTCTCCGCTTTTCCTTCAACCTCGATATGTTCTTCTTCAAAGTTTGTCCAAGTATACCATTCATAAAATTCAGAAATTACTTTATTAATTATTAAGTCACTTTCCATATATCAGAAATTCTCCTTTTTGGGAGAAAAATTTTCTTTCGACTTTTCTTTCGATTTTTGAGCTACTTATTACGTCAATTTTCGATAACCTTATTCGACCAATAAGCGCGCGATAATTTCTACAGTTATTGTGAAAAATCCCCTGAATCGTAAGGGATAAGACTTAATCAGCTCAAAGTTTCCAGTTTTCTTTATGTATGTATTACGCACTTTGTACATTTTAGCAAAGAGTGTTGGGGGAACACGAGAAAAGTTTATAGGTACCAAGCGAAGGTGATGGATTTATAACCATTGTGATTTTTACGCCAGTCAACCGACAGGGAGTGTGTGAGTAAATGTATTTCTTTTATAGAATAAAGGTAAATATTTCTATTTTGTATGGGTTTCAGTGGGTGCAATAATCGAAACGTTTTTGACAAATCAAGGCTCGCGTGGTATCTCAGTAAATTTATAAATTCTGATTGCTTCTTTCGATAAAGACTGAAGTTGTGACCGAGACATGAGGATATTGAAATTTTCGGTTTTTTTTTCTCTCAGAATTGTGGATCTCTAATAATTATTGTGGTTTCCAAAAAACTGTTAATATTTTCACTACACTACAAACTCAATCTTCCCTGTGCAACCGACGCTAAGCCGCAGTTTGCTTCAAATTTCCAGTTTAGAGGTTTCTAACAGCTCGCGTGCGCATCAGCCTTGACACACGCATCATCAACGAAGAGCTGAGGGCTTCTCAGCAATAGATCGGTTTAACCTTATCTATCGTGTTTTTTCCTTAAAGATATTGAATTCGTTAAACCTACTCTCTTTTTCCCAAATTCTGGCACGAATCACAAAGATAACCTGCTCAGCCTTATGTCATATTTCACTTGCAGCATTTGAAAAACATGTGCATGTACTAGCTTTTTAAGCAAAAGCTTCCTTTACTAGACCTTTTCGGGAGCAGTATTTTAGAGAGGATAATAAACACTCATCAAAAAGACCACGTTTAATTCTCACGTTTCTACTCATAATCGAATTTGACATCTTAACTACTCTTCGTTGTTTTACTGCCCAGCAATTATTTAACTAGACCCTATGAGCAGGGTAACTGGGATACCTGGATGGTACTTGATCCTTGGAATCAAGTGTAGTGATACTACGGGTGTCAGACTAG